CTTTAAACTCACAATAGTTGCGAATATGGCGATCCGTTCTTCCTTCTTTTTGTGCAATCAACGTCTCCGACAATCAGTAAGTTCATTTCTTCCTCCCTCGACTACACTCAAGGCCTTCGGTAAGTGGTCAACTCCTTCCTTCTCCCCCTAGACAATGGTGACAACATGGTTGACCCTTCTTTTGATGGATCTTTCCAACAAGCGGCACAATGCTTCCGACCAATACTTCTATGACTTTCAACAAGTCACCACACTAGTGTCTCTAACTACCTAGGAGGCAGACTAAATTTGAGCAATGATTTATTTTCTGATTTTAGAATTTACTTACCTAATTTTATCATTTATTTATATTTTACAGCAAGTTATTTTTATTTCATGTATGTTTCGATTGAAATGAGTAGAACTAATTCAAAACTTGATGAATGATTTTCGTTCTTCTTCTGAATCTTCTAAAACTTGCTTGAGATCAAGTTAAGATCATTCTCAACTTATTTACAATTGATTTGTGTAGTTGAATCTTAACATATTCATATTTCTAGTGTTCCACAAATAACAAGTATTTTTCTATTTTTGAATGCAAAATCACCAAGATTAAAGGCTGATCAATGAGTGTTTAATGATTAAAATAATATGAAAACATTCACAACTGACCTCATGTCATGTGTGTGAATTTTCGAGCACACATTCGTCCAAGAATAATGGGTTGACCGTATTTCTCTCTTTCTTTATTATCATCTTATTTCTTTCTCCGTCTCTCGTGAGATCTCTCTCTCTCTCTTGATTGATCAATCTCCCTCTCTCTCTTTCTCTCTCTTGTGAGACCTTTCTCTCTCTCCATCTCACATGAGATTTCCTCCTCTCTCTTTCTTTCTCTTCCACAAGAGATCTCTTCTCTCATCTTTCGTGAGAGCTCTTTCTCTTCTTTCTCTCTTTTCCTCCTTCCTTTCTCTACTTCCCTTCCTTTATTCTTCTCACTTCACCCTTCTATTTTATTATTTCTATTAAATATTACTATGATATTAAAATTACTTTATATATAAATTAAATTAGTTTTCACAACAGATTAATCAATCTCCCTATGTTTGACTTGAGACTTACTTCTATACTAATATTTTCTTAAGTCTTAGTTATAAATATTATTAGATAATGTGCATTTAAATATAACGACAAGTGCACTTCATGACGTGACTTAGTTGTTGTATAGTAAATCACACAAATTAAAAATTTATAAAACTAAAAAATATCAATTTTTGGATATTTAGAAGTATTTCTGAACAAATATATCAATTATAATTTAATAAAACTTCCAAACATAGTGATAATTTTTCAGGTCGATCATAGGGATGTAATATAATATTAGATAATTATTTAGAATTGTCCTCAAAAAATACTATTTTCTATGAATTTTATACTAAGAAATGAAAATAAAATATATTTTAAATTCACAAAAAAGGGAAATAAGAGTGCGGATGTCAGAATGACGTCAATGCTTGAAGAACACAAATTGGGCAGAAATAGAGAGGAGCTGTCCTAGCGGCTGTCCCCTAGTAGAGTAGGAAAACGACGACTTTGTGGCTCCCCAGTGGCTGTCATCAGATCGAGAGTAGCTGGATGAAGGTAGCGCGCATGTCAAGGAGCTTCATCCTCAAGTTCGCGCAATAAGAGGAGGCTCTTTATTGCATCCAGTATGCTCTCAAGTGGTGACAACTTGTCTCTTAGCGGATCGTCTTCTTCCCGACAAAGACTTGTTTGTTGATCAATCATAGATGATTTATTCGATGGATTCACGATCCTTTTATCATGAATCATTTAGCAATTTTAGTAACAATGCTTTGCAAATCACATTGACAAGATTTTTGCCGATGATCCAGCGATTCTAGTGGCTTAAACCTTCACCGACGATCTGTAGGAAAGTCGCGATAATCAAATAAAAATATGAGTTTTTGATCTGAGAAGATTTGAATCTGTGCCAGTTGCTCATCTACATGAGAGAGATTAAAATAAGTACTCTAATGCCCTTATCAAGTGACATCATCAAGGTATATCTCTATTATAAATAAGGGTTATTTTAGGTATTAAAATCTTCAGAGCCTTTTGGGGGAAGGTGTGACGTGGGTTTAGTCTCATATCATTTGTGCGCAGTTTCGAGCGAATATATAGTAATATTATATTTACAAGCAATGAGTCCCTTTCTCTTGCTTGTACGACCGCTTCTTGCCCCATAGCTGGTTCGCCACTAATGACGTGGAAGGGGAGTGGCGCACACATGCCCCCATCGGTCCTAGTCGTTTGAGCCCTTGGTTGCAGCTCCTCCCCGACTATGCTTCCGACCCACTTACTGGCCGATGAGTCCCCCCTCATTTCGCTATATTTTTATTTTTATTTCTTTTTTCTTAATTTATCTCAAAAATAAGATTATAAAAATCATCTAAATTCATAGAAAATTACATAATTAGCCAAAAATTCACGTTAATCAATTGAAAAATACTTTTCACACTTTAACACAAATATAAGTCTATTTATCATGACTTATGGCTAAAACTATATTATTTACTAATTATTAACTCATGATAATGAAGACTTATTACTTCACATGTCTATTATCTTGACAGAGATATCTGAACATTGGTGTGGTTCACTAAGTCAGCCATTTACAAGTCTGGTTCAAGTGTGAAAGGTACAATTAGCTGTTATCTAGCAAGAATACATATTTGAACCTCACCGTCATATCAAAGACTAAGGAGTATAATGAATATAAGCCTTCAGGGACTGAGTTGTTTAGGTTTGTGATGTAGAACCCGTTTCTTCTTGTTTGAGTGGACTCTATTTACTTTGGCAAAAAGAATGAAGTTTCCTCTAATGTTTTGTAGGACCTTTGTGGCACTAGCACTTTGCCATGATTTCTCTAGGGGTTGCAAGGGACCTAGAAACCCATCTGTAAAAAAAACTTCACTAGCTTAAAGGAAAGGCAAAAATGGTTTGAAGTCCATGATTCCAAAAGACCCATCCACAAGGTAAAAAATCATTCCTAAATGTGGAAAATTGATTGTATGTGTCCTATCTCAAGCTTCGTAACAATGAACCATACAATTGTGTTGCTATAATACTTAATTTAGTATATAATACTAAATATATAATACTTAATTTAGTAATAGTTTTTCAAACTATAATTAAGGGGGACATAATGCTGATTTCATCATACAACTGATGGCCATTTTCTTTGACAATACAATAGTTAAAAATTTAAATGAACTACTAGGTATAAATTTACAAAGAAATATAGATACATGTTAATAAGCTTTTCAACTATGCAATCAAAGATTCCCATTCGGTTTCTATTTCTATTTTTTCCCCTTCAATCCATTAATATTTATATAATGTTTTCCCTCTTCAAGAGTCCACTTATCTCATTTCTTTATGAGAGGGAATGAAAACAAGGTTTTGATTGAAATGGATTTCCTAGTCTTGAAGAGGAGGTATTTTGTAAAAATTAATATTTAATTCATTAAAATAGGCTGATTTATGTAGGCTCATGTTCTACATTCATTAACTTGATTCTCATTAACTTCATTAATATTTACATAATGTTTTCCCTCTTTAGGAATGCACTTGTCTCATTTCTTTATGAGAGGGGATGAAAACAAAGTTTTGATTGAAATGGATTTCCTAGTCTTGAAGAGGAGGTATTTTGTAAAAATTAATATTTAATCCATTAAAATAGGCTGATTTATGTAGGCTCATGTTCTACATTCATTAACTTGATTCTCATTATGTCATTTATTATTATTATTATTTTATTTCTTCATCCTATGTGGTATTATACTTAGAATGTTTCACTTGTACAATTCAAAATGGCTCAATAGTACTTCAAGCATGTAGCAGGTGGCCTTTTTTCATATGTAAGCGATGGAAGTGGCTTGTTTTCCAGAAATTTTACCAACTTTGGGACTTTCTTTAGATTCATTGCACTATACTTCTTTAAGAACATGCTTCTCCAGTGCTATGAGTTCATTGTGAAAGATCATGCTCTCTTGAACATGTAAGCTAATTTTATTCTTTCATTATTGGTTAATGTTTTAGATAATCACCTTAACTTGTTGTAATATCCAAATTGTCTCTAAAAGGTTCTAGATATGAAACCATAAATCCTAAACATGTCTTCTTGATAGATTAATCTGACGAGGCTCCAACTTCTAGATGAAAATTGGGGCTTATTAAATATAAAACAATAAGAGCAATATCTGAAGTAGGTAAGATAGAGGAAGAGGGGAGAGATAAGAGAATCAGATTCAGTTACCTCAGATCTAGGATAAAAATAATAAGCATTGGGTTCATTACCATCAGGTTTATGAAATTATTAAAATAGCTCATCAATATTTGGTTTTCATTAAGAATGATTGAACTCCTATATCTTTAATATCTAATTTATCTAGGTGGATCAAAACCCGGAGCCCATGCTGATCTATATTTTATGGCTTGAGCCTCAAAATTGTCTCCCATACCTCTCTCTCTCTCTCTCTCTCTGGTGTAGACACTTAGAGAATTTACTAATTGGAAATTGGTTGCTCAAATCTTTCTGCAAAGGCCCGTCCCATCATGTTTCCCGTTCGTGTTATCCTAATATTTCGTACATTAGATTCTCTTTATTTTTTTCAAAAGTTTATGAGAACGTTTTTTGCTGCTTTATGTTGACTTGTTTGGCATTTCATACTTTAATGCGTTCTTCTTTCAGCTTCAGTATCTCTCATTGTGGGAAAAAAAGAAAGAGTTTCTATATGATCCTGTTTCTCAGGCATCATTTTTTGGGGCACAATGTGGCGCTTGGGGCAGTCAACTTAGTTGATCCAGGGGATTCTGATACTTCAGATTATATTCAGGTTAGGCTGTCTATGACAAGTTCTAGAGATGGTCGACGGGAAGGTTTGGCCCAGATCAGATATCGACGAACTATGCGTGCTTTATGGTTTTATAAACCCACCTTGTATGGCTCAGCTGTGTGAATGAGAGAGAATCAGAGCGAAAAAGAGTAAGTGAGTGCTCGCGAAGGAGTCTGGCCTTTCTTGAGTATGTGTTAAACGGTGCACGTTTTAGGGTTTTATTGAGTCACTTGGATGTCGGGAGATAGAGGAGGAGAGAGAGAGAGAGAGAGAATTCTCTGATCGACCTAAAGCCACGGCCCGGCTGAAGTATCAGACTGTATAAACTATACACTTTTTTGCTTTTTCTTCACACTTTGGGTGGGTTAATTATAGAGAGATACATAGATGAAGACATACAGACATTGGTACAGAGAGAGAGGGGGAGAAAGAGGTAGAGAGAGGGAGAGAGAGAGAGAGCGCGCGAGAGGGGAGGAGAGAGACGGGAGTCGTCGGTTGGTCGTCAGTAAAAAAAAAACGGCGAGTCAACGAACAGAACCTCGCTAATCCAAAACTGTTCAAGCGGGACAGTTGAAATATTCCGTTCTGCTAAATTGCCCACATGTCCCGAAAATTTTCCTAATGGGCGTAGGTGAGGAAGGGGGGTGGGGAGTCAACGTTGGCCTCTCGTTAAGAGAAAAGGTTCCACGGATACAACTGAACGCCTGCCTACTGTAGACCAATGCTGCGAGCGACGTGAAGCTGAGAACTTCACGTCTACCAGGACGCTTCAAAGTACGTGGGATTTTCGATCTCCAGAAGATCGAAGGATCGAAGAGTAGAGACGGAAATTGAGGAAGAGGCGGCGAAGTGGCGATGGCCTCCTCCGCGACGGTTCTGGCGTCCTTCCGTTCTCATTCTCACCTCCGACGGGCAGAACAGGACCTGCGGAGGATCTCCGCCAATCCGGGGCTTCTGATTCGCTTCTGCCGGGAGCGGAGGCTGCATTCACCCGCAAGGTTCCGGATCAAAGCCGCGGTGGTCGTTGCTGGGAAGGTAGGAGTCCTACCTAACTTCTGGAGACTGGTCTCGGATTACTGTGATTGTGGAGAACTAAGTGCGCCTGATAGTTTTAGATCTGGTCCGATCGTTCCTTCGGATCTGTCTTGACAGTTTTCTGTACAGTCGTGTGGTTTTGTTTCAATGCCGATGGAGAAATATTGAGGCGAGAAGCTTCAATTATGCAGGAGGATGTTAGTCCAGAAGTCGACATATTTGCTTGCCCAATTTGCTATGAACCACTGATAAGGAAGGGGCCTTCAGGCCAAAACCTGTGAGAACACCTCATTTCTGAACCTCTCTGGCATGCCTATTATATTCGCTTGGATATCTGAGCGTTGGTGTGGTTCATCAGGTCGCCATCTACAGGTCTGGTTTCAAGTGTGAAAGGTGCAACAAGCCATTCTCCAGCAGGAATACGTATCTGGATCTCACCGTCACATCTGGGATTAGGGAGTATAATGAATACAAGCCTTCAGGGACTGAGATGTTCAGGTCCGTAACGTAGTACCTGTTTCTTCTTGTTTGAGTGACTCCATTTACTTGTGTAAAAAGAACAAAGTTTCATCGAATGTTTTGGAGGCCCTTTGTGGCACTGGCACTTTGCCATGATTTCTCCAGGGGTTGCAAGGGAGCTAGACACCCATCTGTAAAACAAGACTTCACCAGATTAAAAGAAAGGCAAAAATTATTTGAAGTCCATGATCCTAAAAGACCCATCCACAGGGTAAAAAATCATCTAAATTTGGAAAACTAGCTGTATGTGTCCTATCTCAAGCTTCCTAAAAATGAACTGGGGTAATAATATTAAATTCAATTAGGAAATACTCGCTTTAAAAAAATATATAAAACTTAATTTGGTAATGCTTTTTCAAACTATAATTCTGGGGGAGACAAGGCTGATTTCATCATACGACCAATGGCCATTTTCTTCGACAATGCAATAGTTAAAAATTTACGTGAATTGGCAAATATAAATTTACAAAGAAATACAGATACATGTTAACAGTTGCTCAACCATGCAATCAAAGATTCCCATTCAGTTCCTATTCTGATCGTTGCCCTTCAATCCATAACTTGATTACAGCTGTAAATCAGGGGCTTCATAATTATACACTAATATTTCTTTGATGATTTCCCTCTTTAGGAGTTCACTTGTCTCTTTTTTTACAAGAGGGGATGGTGACAAAGTTTTAGTAGAAATGGATTCCCAGGTCTTGAGGAGGAGGTACTCTGAAAAAATCAATATTTAATTCATTAAAATAGGCTGATTTATGTAGGCTCGTGTTCTATATTCATTGACTAAATTATCATGACGTCATTGATTACTATTATTATATTTCTTCATCCTATGTCGTATTATACTGAGAATGTTTCACCCCTACAGTTCAAAATGGCTCAAGAGTACTTCGAGCATGTAGCAGGTGGCCTTCTTTTAGACATAAGAAGTGGGAGTGGCTTGTTTTCTAGAAAATTCGCCGCAAAGTCTAGGACTTTCTCCAAAGTCATTGCACTAAACTTTTCTGAGAACATGCTTCGCCAGTGCTATGAGTTCATTGTGAAAGATCATGCTCTCTTGAACACGTAAGTTAATTTGGTATTACACTATTAGTCAATGTTGTAGATAATTTGGCATGCTTTATGAAGTTCTTATTATTCCTTTAGTCTATTTGGAGCTCCCCATAATCTCACGTTCAGTGATTCTCCTATTGGACTTGGGTTTTCCTCCTAAATAAGTGTATTGAGGGTTATCAAGACTCTACCTCCCATGAGTTTCACCATGTCTTTAAGGTGGAATTCTAAAAATTGCTGCTGATTTTTTTATGTTTTCCCATGAGGCTTCATAGTCAAGAAGGTTTTTCTATTTGACTAGTACTTTCACATTAAAAGATGAACTATGAAAGGAAGGATGTCTTGAGGAACAATTACTCATTTTATATCTTCTATAAGCACTCTTAGAATTTGTTGACTGCAATCCAGATTTTCCAGGGCTCTACAAAACTATGAGACATGAAACACTAGATGAAGAGTTGTGTTATTTGGTAGCTCTGATTTATATGCCACTAGTCTAATTCGCCCCTTGATGGGATATCAACAAAAAAACTTAGGACCAAGCTTTTTGTTGAGCTTCTTTGCCAATGTCCTCATGTGATAGGGTTTGAGTTCTATATAAATGAAGTCTCTCTCTCACTTGTAATTTTGTCACTTTTATGTTTACTTGCTTGTTTTTTCATCTTGGACTGTACATGCAATAAATTTTCCTTCAAAAGTTGAAGTATTTAATCATGTTCAATTAAATATTTGCCTACTTCATTGATTGATGAAATAGGTAGCTCATATTGTGAAAATGTGAGAGGATCTCAATAATAAATTACTTTGAAAGGCATCATCTAGATATTTGAGTGATAAGAAGTTTTATAGCTAAGTTTTGCTAGTGTAATGACTCACTACACAATTTAGGCTTATCATAGGCAACACATTTGAGCTAGGTTTCTAGGCTTGGATTTATGACCTTTATTTGATCATCTATTTGTGGATGATGATGAAAACTCGTTATAAGTTTAATGTCTTGTATTTATTTAGTAATCTCTTAAAAGGGTTTGTGAAGACACTTCCTCTATCAACTACAATAGACTTAGGTAAGTCATGTGACATGACTTAGTCGTTGTATAGTAAATCACACAAATTGAAAATTTATAAAATTAGAAAATATTAATTTTCAGATATTTAGAAATATTTCTGAACAAATATATCAATTATAATTCAATAAAACTTCCAAAAATAGTGATAATTTTTCAAATTAATCACAGGGATATAATATAATATCGGGCATTTTTTTCATAATTTTTCTTAAAAAATATGAGTTTTTATAAATTTTATACTAAGAAATAAAAATAAAATATATTTAAAACTCATAAAAAAGAGAAATAACCGACAAACGTAAATCAGACAGAAATAGAGTTCTACTCGATGATTTTTATGTAAGTGATTATAGATGATTTAATTAATCAAATTAAAATCTATAAAAGTCAGAAGAATCGTAATTGAATAAAGTATAGTTTGGTAAATTTAAATCACACAAATTATCACTAAATGAAGTGAAAATTAAGTTGAAAGTAGGAAAATAGAGTTCCGGCATCACTACTATGATGCGTCGGTGATGCACCAAAATCTTGAGCATTCGAGAGGATCATCGTACATTATCCACGGCCTCAAAGGCTCTCATTGGAAAAGACGACATGGGCAATCTCTAGATTTCCTTGCGAAGTCTAGAGATTTATGAAATAGGTTATTGAATCATCTCTAGTGACTATTATTTGGCATAGCGGAAAAATGATGACTTTGCAGCTCTCTAGTAGCTGTCACTCGATGGAGAGGAGTTAGATGGAAGTGGGGTGCATGTTAGGGAGCTTCATCCTCAGGTCCGCGTAGTAATAACAGGCTCTTCAGCGCATCTGGTATGCTCTCAAGAGGTGGTGACTCGTCTCCTAGTAGATTGTCCTCTTCCTTACGATAGCTTGTTCGTCGATCAATTAGAGATGATTTACTCGATGAATTTACAATCCTTTTATCATGAATCTTTCAGTAATTTTAGTAACAATGCTCTGCAAATCGCGTTGACGAGGTTTTCGCCAATGATCTAACGATTTTAGCGACTTAATCTTTCACTAGTGATCTACAAGAAAGTCATGATAGTCAGTTAAAAATACGAGTTTTGGCTTTGGGAAGATTTGAACTCATGCTGGTTACCCGCTTACATGAGAGAGATTGAAACAAGTAATCTAATGCCCTTATCAAGTGACGTTGATAAGTCTTCATTATCATGAGTTAATAATTAGTAAATAATATAGTTTTAGCCTTAACTCATGATAAATAGACTTATATTTGTGTTAAAGTGTGAAAAGTGGTTTTCAGTTGATTAATGTGATTTTTTGGGTAATTATGTGATTTTATACGAATTTATATGATTTTTACAGTCTTACTTTTGAGATAAATGAAGAAAAAGAAATAAAACTAAAATATTGCAAAATGGGGGGGACCCGCCGGCCAGCCAGGCCCACAAGTGGGTCGGAAGCTCAGTCGGGGAGTAGCTGCGAGCAGGGGCTCGAGCGGCTTGGACCGATAGAGGCACGTGTGCACCACTCCCCTTCCATGTCACCGGTGGCCAGCCGGCTGTGGGGCAAGGAGTGGTCGTACACGCGAGAGAAGGGACTTTGCTTAGAAAGCTAACATTACTATATATTTGCCTGAAAAATCGACACACAATCGATGTGGGACTAAACCTGCGTCACACCTTCCTCAGAAGGGGCGGACAACCGGCGCGGGTTCGAATCCTCCCAGAGTCAAAATTCATATATTTGTATCTAATTATTGCGACTTTCCTACAGATCACCGGTAAAGGATTAAGCAACGAGAATCGCTGGATCATCGGCGAAAATCTCATCAACACGATTCGCGGAGAATTGCTACTAAAATTACTGAACGATTTGCGATAAAAGGATCGCGAATCCATCGAGTAAATCATCTCCAATTGATCGACGAACAAGCCGTCATCGAGAAGAGGACGATCTGCCGGGAGACGAGTCGCCACCTCTTGAGAGCATACTAGATGCGATGAAGAGCCTCCTCTTGCTGCGCGGACCTGAGGATGAAGCTCCCTAACACACGCCCCACCTCCATCCAGCTTCTCTCCGTCGGGTGACAGCCACCGGAGAGCCGCAAAGTCGCCGTTTTTCTGCTCTGCCGGGTGACAGCCGCCAAAGACGACTCGACGACCCATTCCATTGATCTCTAAACTTCGAAAGGAGATCTAGAGATTGCCCACGTCGTCTTTGTCCAAGGAGAGCCTTCGAGGCCGTGGACACTACACGACGATCCTCCCAAACGCTCAGGATTCCGGTGCATCGCCAACGCATCGTCGTCGCGATGCCGGAACTCTGTTTTCCTGCTTTCAACTTACTTTATACTTCATTTAGTGATATTTTTTGTGATTTTAATTTACCAAAATATACTTTGTTCTATTATGATTCTTCCGGCTTTTACAGATCTTAATTTGATTAATTAAATCGTCTGTAATCACTCACGTAAGAATCGCCAGGTGGAACTCTGTTTCCGCTCGATTCGCATTCGCCGGGCGCTGACGTCATCCTGACGTCCGCACCCTTATTTCCCTTTTTTCGTAAATTTTAAATATATTTCCTTTTTATTTCCTAGTGTAAAATTCATAGAAAATCGTATTCACTGAGGAAAATTCTGAATAATTACCATATATTAAATTACATCCCTATAATCAACCTGGAAAATTACCGCTATTTTTGGAAGTTTTATTGAATTATAATTGATATATTTGTTCAGAAATACTTCTAAATATCTGAAAATTTGTATTTTCTAGTTTTATAAATTTTAGATTTGCGTGATTTAATATACAACAGCTGAGTCACGTCAGTTAGACACTGACATTATCCTGACATCTACACCTTTATTTCCTTCTTTTGTGAATTTTAAATACATTTTACTTTTATTTCTTAGTATATAATTTATAAAAAAATATATTCTTTGAAAAAAATTCTGAAAAATTACCCGATATTATATTACATCCCTATGATCAACTGAAAATTTACTACTATTTTTGAAAGTTTTATTGAACTATAATTGATATATTTGCTCAAAAATACTTCTAAATATCTAAAAATTAGTATTTTCTAGTTTTATAAATTTTAAATTTATGTGATTTACTATACAATGATTAAGTCACATCAAATTTTGATGCCTTCGGGGATGTATTACATAATATTTAGTATTTTTCTATTTTTCTCTTAGAGTACACAAAAAAATTAACTCTTGTTTTATTTTCTTCTTGCTGAATTTTTTTAAAAAAAGAAGGAAATGAAGAGAAGCAAGGCAAGGACTAGAGCATACTAAATGAGGGTAGCAATTATTAAACTTTTTCCTCAAATTTATTGATTTTTATGCATGGTAGAAAATCTTTGCATCCAAGGCTAGAAAATTCTTTCATTATTTCATTCAAAACTAAAAATCTAAAAGAAAAATTAATTTTGATAGATCTTGAAGGAAGTACAAGTCAAATTGAGAATAATCCTACGGCCATGAAAAATCATTATATCCCTGATTCATTTCAAAGAGCATCCAATATTAGAGTCCCATTAACACCCACTGTTAAATTCAAAATAAATCTAGGAATTTTTCAAATGCTTCCTAATTTTCATAGATTGCTTTTAGAGAAATCTTATCAGCATTTAAAAAAATTTATATGGTCTGTGATTTAGTTAATCTCCCTCAAGTTACATTGAAAATTATTAAGATAAAATTATTTTCTCATACACTTGGGGACAAATCTAGTCATCGATTATCCACATTAGATAGAGAAATTAACTAACTGAAAAGATATAGAATAGGCCTTTCTTCAAAAAATTTATCTCTTAGGAAAAACTCAAAATATGAGAAAATATATATAGAGTTTTTCTCAAAGATTAGGAGAAACTTTGCATGAGATATAGGAAAAATTAATAGTTTTACTTAGAAAGTGTCCTCATCATGCTATACCCAAGTGACAACTCACTAAAATTTTTTATGATGGATTATTAGAACAACATAGAAATATGGTTGATTCGATATATGGAAGAACTTTTATGGAGAAAACCCTTGTTGAGATTTACAGCCTTTATGAGAATGTAAGTGAAAATTCTAGAGATCAAGCCTCTTTTGAATTATATGACAAGGATAAGAAGAGAAGAATTTATAAATTATATAATCAAAATGATTCTAATTTACTAAATGAGGTTAATTAGATTAATAAAATATTAGGAAAACTTGATTTACTTATTGACAATATTAGAAAGTCTCTTAACCCTCAATTCAATTCAAATAGTACATGTCCTATGTATGGTCAAAATGATTATTCTGAATTTCAATACTATAATTTAGATCAATCATTTTACCCTATGCAAGAACAAGTGTAAGTAGCTCATGATTTTAATAAAAATAGGAAGCCTTTTTCTAATTCTTATAATCCTAACGAAGAAATAATTTTTCGTGGAAAGACCCAAATAATATTCAAAATCTAGAAGCACTTAGATCCAATTCAAACTCTGAATTTCATCCAAAATGGGAAAACAGATTTCAAAAAAATCAGTCCTCTCAAACCTAACCTGATGCTATGGAAATGATGTAGTAAATGAGTCAAATGATACAACAAATTATGAATCAAATGATGTTGCAGCAGAAACAAATTATAGAGGCTCTTGGGATTAAGAGAAAAGAGGGACAACTACCTAGTCAACCCATAGAAAATCTAAAGAATCACCTAACAATAAGATTTCAGTAAGGGGAGTCTAGTAGCATGAATTTAGGAAAAAACCCACGAAATGAAAATATTAAGACAGTAAATGCATTGAGTGAGAAGATTTTACTTGATCCTTATCTCCAAACATTAGAAGAAAAGGAAAACGTGGACAGCCCAAAATAAAATCAAATAGGAGTAGAAGAGGATTTTATAGATTCTACTAAGAAAACTCCGAAAGAGAGGACAACCATTTCATTTCCTAAAGCTCTAGAGCCTAGACAAAGAAAAGAAAAAGAACATAATGAAATAATTTTTTTTTTATAAGATGTGCAAATTAGTCTTCCTTTACTCACTGCCATTGAATATATTCCTGAATATGCTAGAGTTTTGAAAGAAATGTATACATTAAAAAGGACACCTAGAGTAAAAAAATTATCTATGCATGCTAGTGCTTTATTATTAAATTAATTACCATATAAATTGAGAGATACTAGTGCCTCTTTAATTTCGTGTGATATTGGTGGATCCATTTTTTAGAATACATTACTTGATACAAGTATTTGTGATAAATTTAATATTACAGATCGTAAACCTTCTACTGTTACTTTATAATTTGATAATAAATCTATAAAACATACTAAAGGTATTTTAGAAAATGTGATAGTGACAGTTAAAAGGTGTAAATTTCCAACTGATTTTTCTGGAAATAGATTTTAATGGAAAGTTTTATGATACACCAATCATCTTAGGGAAACTATTTTTGCATACAGCAAACATGAATATTGATTTTCTTACAAGTATTGCAAAAATTTTATGTGGAGATCAATCAGTAGAAATTAAAATTTTTAAGGTATCAAATGATCTTAAGAAATCCCAAATATATGACTGTCATACCATAGATTTTCTAGATGATTTTGATGATCCAAATGTTATTGATGACTATGTGCCAGAAGAATTAGAGGAAATAAAGAATATAAATTTCAGAGAAAAGAAAGAAGAAGATCATCTGAATTTAGAGTTGAAACCTCTTCCCTCTAGTTTAAAATATATATTTTTGGAGGAAAATAATTCATATTATGTTATTACTACAACTGATTTGAGTAATGAATAAGAAGAAAAGTTATTAAATATACTTCGAAAAAATAAAAAGTCCATTGGCTGGAAAATGGATGATCTTAGGGGCATTGATATGTGTGTATGCATGCATAGTATATATCTAGAGGAGGAGGCTAGTACTAATAGGGAACCACAATGAAGATTAAATCCTAACATGATGAAAATTGTAAAAAAAATAAATTAAAGTGGCTGACAATTGAAATTATTTATCCTATTTTAGATAGCAAATGGGTTAATCTTACACAGGTGGTGCCAAAAAAATTAGGGATCATGATTATAAAAAACAAAAATAGGGATGAAATACAAACAAGATTAACTACCGATTGGAGGGTTTGCATTGATTATAAAAGATTAAATTCAGTTACTAGGAAAGATCATTTTTCCCTACCATTTACTAATCAAATTCTAAAACAATTAGCTAGAAAAAACTTTTTTTATTTTCTACATGGATACTCTAGTTATAATCAAATTTATATAAACTCTTTAGATCAAGAAAAAATAACTTTCACTTGTCCATTTGGTACTATTGCTTTTAAATGCATGCCTTTTAGTCTGTGTAATACTCTAGCCACATTTCAAAGATGTATGCTGCCTATTTTTTCTGATATGATTGGAAAATAGATGGAAATTTTTTGAATGATTCTTCTATTTTTGGTGAATCATTTGATGAATGCTTAAATAATTTATTGCATATACTTAAGAAATGTATAGAGAAAAAAATAATTTTGAGTTTGGAGATATTACATTTTATAGTTAGAGAGGGAGTTATGTTGAGTCATATTGTGAGTGAAAGCGGTTTAGAGGTGGATGGAGTAAAAATTGATATTATATCTAAAATGAAACTTCTGAAATCAATAAAATAGATTAGATCTTTCTTGGGTCATGTAGGTTATTATAAAAAATTTATTCAAGATTTTTCAAAAAATTTTAAACCTCTCACCATGTTATTATCTAAAGATGTGCCTTTTAAATTTGATAAGAAATGTTTTGAGTCTTTTTCTGAAATAAAAAGATTACTTACTGAGGCACCTATTTTACAAGCTCCTGATTGATCTCTTCCCTTTGAAATAATGTGTGATGAATCGAATTATGTAGTAGGAGTCGTTCTAGGACAAACAAAAGAGTCAAAACCCATAATAATTTCATATGCTAGTAAAACTATATCTGATGCTCAATTAAATTATACCACGACTGAAAAAGAGTTTTTAGTTGTAATATTTTCATTAGAAACGTTTAGATCATATATTTCCAGAGCTAAAATTATTATTTATACTAATCATGTAGTATAAATATGTTCCATTCATATCAGAACATGTGCCATTCATCTAACTGTGGAGGACATTTTTTTGGACGAAAAATAGCTGGAAAAAAATTTCAGTGTGGTTTTTATTGGCCTAAAATCATTAAAAATTATATAGAATTTAGTAGAACATGTATTTCATGTCAATCTATAGGTAACATGAGCAAAAAAGATGAAATACCCATGAGTAACATGTTAGTAGTCGAAATTTTTCATGTATAGATAATAAATTTCATGGGTCTCTTCCTATCAGTTGAAAAATATGAATATATTTTACTTGCTGTTGATTATATGTTTAAGTGGGTGGAAGCTATTCCTACTAAAACTAATGATCATAAAATCGTGATGAAATTTGTGCAGGAAAATATTTTTTCGAAATTTGGATGTCTTAGAGTGATTATTAGTGATGGAGGAACATATTTTACAAATAAACATTTTAGGGAACTATTGAAAAAGAATAGAGTACACCATAAAATAGCCACTCTATATCATCCTCAAATAAATGGGCAAGATGAAGTAGTGAATAAGAAAATTCAGAGAATTTTGAGAAAATAATTAGATCAAATAGGAAAGATTGGCCCACAAAATTACAAGATGCATTATGGGCTTATAGAACAGCTTATAAAAATTTCATAGGTATGTCTCCATTTTATCTCATTTTTGAAAAGCCATGTCATCTTCTTGTGGAAATAAAGCATAAAGTATTATGGGCTATAAAAATTTTATATATGGATGAAAAATCAGCTGATGGGCATAGAATTTTTTAGCTACATGAACTAGAGGAGTTGAGGAATAAAGCTTATGAAAATCATAGAATATATAACAAAAAAAAAAACTTTTCATTATAAATACATTAGTAGAAAAAAAATTGATGTTGGTAAAAAGTGTGGTTATATGATTCTAGGCTGAAATTATTCTCAAGAAAATTAAAATCAAAATAGATAAGACCTTATATGGTGGAAGAGACATGATCATAGGGCTGTAATGATTAAAGATCCTAAAAGTGATCATAACATTAAGATAAATGGACAGCGGCTTAAACATTACATAAAACATGAATGCCTTGTAGAAAAAGAAATTTTATTATTAAAAAAAATTCAAGAGAAAGATTAATGTGTCTAGCTAGAGACATTAAATTTAGTACTGCATGGGAGGTAACCCATGGTCTTTATTTCATTTTGTTTTTTTTTAAGCTTTATTTTTCTTAAAATTTCACAATACTTGTTTCTGTATTTTATTTTTATTTTTTCAAAAAAGTGCAAGAGGAGGAGTGTAAGATGAAGTGGAAAATTAAAAACAAGGTTAAAGTGATGTCTTTCTGAGCTTTATCATTTATGACAACATTTTTAATACTTAATTTTACATATATGTATGTTCACTTGAGAATTATATTTTCTACATATTCTGTTCTAATTTTTCTGTGTCATTGAGGACAATGTCATTTTTAAGTTGAGGGGTGAAGTATTAATTCTTAATTTATGCTATAGGACAATTAAGAACATGTGTTTGTATTTTTTTTCATGCTCACTTAGAACAGCAACTAAAATAAAAGATTCGGAAAAACTACAATATCTATTTTCTGGTTTTCTGTCATGAACAATAGACTGACAAAAATAATAGAGAAAAAAAAGCCCAAAATTTAAAATTCTAGAGACCCTTTCTCACATTTCAATGCCCTAGACATATATTGCTGAAATTCAAAATTACAGTCATAAAGAGAATAGTTTTGGTTTATTTTTGACAAATTTATTGTTGCTAAAAATAGAGCTGAAAACATAAAGCAAAACTATCAGAACTATCTAATTTACAAATTTCTTACATCATATTGCATGCACGAAAAATTAAATCAAGTAGATTGATTGATACCAAAAGATACTAAGAAGATTATTATTAAGTTAAAAGAATGATTTAGTAGCATGAAATGTTGGAAGACTCCTTGGATACATAATAGATAACATGGATTTGATTTTATAGATTTTCAGTTCATGATCTTAATAAATAGTATTTACTTGATGTGAAAATTTGATTGATCATTTGAGTTTAATAGAAATTTTTGCACCTTGATCTATAGGACTTGTGAGGAGAAATCACTTATTTCAAAAAAAAAAAGAGAGAGTAATGTGAAAAATCTAGAAACAAAGAGTACACATGGAGGGTGTGAGACATCATTCTCATTGTCAAAAATCATGTATAGAAAAATATTTACTGTAAAATAAGTAGATAAAGTGAAAGCCCTAAAAATGAAGAGTACACACATGGAGGGTGTGAGACATCAATCTTATTATCAAAACTTGTCTATAGGAAAAGTTACTTATCTACTATATATATATATATAAAAAAAGAAATATAATGCAAACTTTTAAAAATTAAGTCATGAGAAAAGAGAAATATAGGATTAATATTATTTTTAGATGAGTATTGATAATTGGAGCATGTTGTAAATATATCTATGAATGAAGGAGTGATAAAGATGTGAATAGAAGAAGTGAAGTCTAGATTGTTATTTCAAGTCTTTCATGAGAAGGTGTGATGTGGGTTTAGTCCCACACTACTTGTGCACCAAAGTTTTGGGCGAATATATAGTAATATTACATTTGCAAGCAATGAGTCCCTTTCTACCGCTTCCTCCAACATCGATCTCACATTTCTTTGAGATGGAATTTAATGGTGGCCGCCAGAAGGTGGGGAGGGGTCGGCGGCGGTATCGCCGAGGGAGCAACCGTCGTCAAGCCTAGACAGGGTCATCACCCACCATGTCTTATTGCCAAAGAAAGCGCAGACAGGCCGCGTGGGCAGCCGGCCACCACGTGGACGCCCCAAGTCAACACGCCGCTTTCCGACGGAGGCCAGACATGGACATCCATGTGAACGGCCGGCAGGGGGACCAACTGGCCAGCAACCGGCAACATCCCCGCCCCTCCCAACCGCCGTCCGGCCACTGTTTCCTGCATGGTGCAACATAATAGTAGTACATAATCTCATTTACTCGCTCTTCCGAAGTAGGGGGAGAGGCCCCCGAAGGCACAGTAAAACAGTGAAAAATGTGAGAGATGATGATATATGATAGAATATGTTCTATGATGGTATATATAGCGGAAACGAGGGGATATTGAGAACATTGTCTCGATACCCCACATCCGCCTGGTGGAGTATTATTTGAGGAAGAAATTGAGAGGGAGCTCCCGCCATCTACTCTTTCCTTCTCCTTGGTCGCCTCTCTCTCGCCGGTGGACTCCTCCAGAATGAGGGCTCGGGTCTCAGCGTTGCTCCTCTTGCTGCTGCTGCTGCTGCTGTTGCTGCTGCCTCTAGACACCGCCGCGGGAAGAGGTACGATGACGGAAACCCTCACTATTCCTCCCATCACAGCCGTTTATTAGTGGATTTCTGGATGACTAAGAAGGTCTACTCTCTCTCCCTCTCTCCCTCCCTCTCTCCCTCCCTCCCTCTCTCTCTCTCTCTCTCTCTCTCTCGCTAATCTGTCTATCTAGGGAATGGGATGGAAGAAGAGCCTTCGTCCGCCTTGGAGAGGAACCAGCAGGTGGGTTTCTTGTTTTCGGGACCCTTCATCTTGTTTTACTCTATTCTGGGGATCGAAAGCTGAAGGTATTCGGTCGGTTTCAGGATGACAGTGGGAGTGTGAGAGCAGGGAGAGCTCCGGTGGGAAGAACAGCTCTCCATTCAGGTATGATGAAGGAGAGTTAGAATTTTAGTTAGAATCCAACCGTAGATGGGAAAACTTTCATGAAGATTATTGCTTCTGATCATCCGAAACATGATCTCTCTCTCTCTCTCCCTCTCTCTCTCTCTCTCCCTCTCTCTCTCTCTCTCGCTCTCTCACTTGCTCAGAGTACTCACTTTATCCCTCTTATCGCGCAGGAAACAGTAGAAAACTTCTGACCCGGGCGCCACGAAAGGTTTGTCTTTTAGTCAGAACAATTAAAGTCAAACTGGCGTTCCGATTATTCCAGCACTGTAATCGTCTTCATCCTCACGTTGATTTTCGTTATCTTCCACAGGGCGCCAGAAGTCAACGGGTACAAGAGGTCGCCGCCGTCCCTGTCGTCGCCGAGCACGACCCGCCGGCCGAGGAGATGGACCCCGGCGTCATGGACATAGAAGGGATGGACTATTCTCCGGCTACGAGGAAGCCCCCGATTCGCAACTGATCTCTGCGAGCAGAGTACCGCCGAAAACGGTCTATAAACGATCGCAGACAGAGAATACAGATGTAGATAGATAGATAGAGAGAGAGAGAGAGAGAGAGAGAGAGAGAGAGAGAGAGAGAGAGAGAGGAGAGAGAGAAGATGGAGTTCATCACAGAAAATGGTGCACCTCCCTGTGCATAACTTACCCATTATGAATAGAGCCATCTCCTTCCTCAGTGAGCTGAGAGAGCTTTAAATATGTCTGAGACCAATAAATGATGAACACTGAAGAGAGAGACAGAGAGAGAGAGAGACAGAGGGAGATGGAGCACCTGGTGGGGGGCTTCAGGAGGAGGAAACTACGAAGTCGGGGTAATTGAATGGGTGGTCCTTGTCGACTCACATGTTCGCCGCTGAAGCGGCACGTGCGGCGGTCGGCCGGCAAGATCGACGGTGGGGACCGGGGTGGGGGGCGGCGAAGATATCTTCGGGATGATAGCTCCAGTGTCGTGGACAGTGAACCTCTCGTTAAACACGGCAGAGAGAGGTTGTCAACGTGCATGCTTTCGGAGCTAGCCAGCGAGATGGAGGGAGGGAGAGAGAGAGAGAGAGAGAGAGAATTCCCAGGTCAGCCTAAAGCCACGATCCGGCTGAAGGATAACTGCATAAACTATACACTTTTTTGGTTTTTCTTGACCCTTCGTGGCTTAATTGTAGAGAGATGCATAGATGAAGGCATGCATACACATATATACACAGAGAGAGAGCGAGAGAGAGAAGGGACCATAATCCACGATTCGGGGATCAATGGCTCCTTTGTTGCGAGCCAGCGACGGGAGTCATTGGTAAAGTCGTAGCATTTATGGTAGTCGTCGGGGAAGAAAACAGCGAGTCAACGGACAGATCCTCGTTAATCCAAAACTGTTCCAGCGGAACAGCTGAAATACTCCAATCTCAGTGGACCGCTTTTCCGAGGCCCGGACTGGCCCCAAACATCCCATTATTGGGCTGGACCATAGAACCTGTCGACAAGCCCAATCGTCATCCCATTATTGGCCCAGCCCACATAAATAGGCCCACAAGCCCAATAAATTTTATAAACTGAATTTTAGGCCTCTAATTAACTAATTATGATGAACGACTCTGCTTGCCTCTTGTTAAGAGAAAAAGTTCAAACCGTACAAATGAATGCCTACTTATGTAGACTACAGTTCTGAGCGATGTGAAGCTCAGAACTTCATGTCTATGGGGAAGCATTAAGGTACATGGGAGCTTCTGAATCTCTAGAAGATTGGAGGAACTTGAGAAGGAAGAGGCAGCGAAGTGGCGATGGCCTCCTATGCGACGGTTCTAGCCTCTGTCCGCTCACATTCGGGCTGCCAACCAGAAGATTAGGACCTACAAAGCATCTCCACCAATTGGGGGCTTCTGATTCACTTCTGCTAGGGGCGGAGGCTGCAGTCATCTGCCCATCTGAAGTGGGTAAGATAGAAGAAGAGAGGGGAGAGATCAAAGAAAATCAAATTCAATTGCCTTAGATCTAAGATAATAATAAGTACATGCTTGATGAATCACTTTCTCCAAAGGTGCATTCTTTCTCCTCCTTTCCTTTATGTATGCCCTTCTTTATTCTGAGGTAGCCCATGTGCATTGTTTGTGAAGCTCTTATTATTCCTTTAGTCTATTAGGAGTCCCCTATAATCTCACCTTCAGTTATTCCCTAGTTGAACTTAGGTCTTCTTCCTTCTAAAATGAGTGCATAGAGGCTTAACAATTCTCCCCATAATGAGTTTCACCTTGTCCTCAAAGTGATGTTGATTCCTATGAGGCTTCATAGTCAAGAATGTTTTTTCATTTAACTAGTATTTCCGTGTTAAAAGATAAACTCTAAAAGGAAGGATGTCTTGAGGAACAATCACTCATTCTATATCTTCTATAAGCATTCTTATAATTTGTTGACTGCAATCAAGATTTTACAAGGCTCTATAGAGCTTTGAGACATGAAACACTAGATAAAAAATGTGTTATTTAGTAGCTCTAATTTGTATGCCACTAGTCTAATTTGCTCCTTGATGGGATAGGAACAAAAGAACTTAGGGGCAAGTTTTTCATTGAGCTTCTTTGTCAATGTCCTCATGTGATAGGATCTGAGTCTTATATAAACAAAGTCTCTCACTTGAAATTCTATGTCACTTTTATGTTTTCATCTTGGACTGCATGTTATAAATGTTCTTACAAAAGTTTAAGTATTTCATCATGTTGTATTAAATATATACCCATTCCATTGATTGATGAAGTAGGCAACTGATGTGACTTAATCTTTGTATTATAAATCACTCAAATTTAAAATTTATAAAAATAAAATACTATTTTTTAGATTTTTAAAAGTATTTTAACACAAATATATCAATTATAATTTGATCAAAGTCTCCAAAAAAAGTAGAAAATTTATAGGTCAATTATAGGGATATAAAATAATATTAAGTTAAATTTTAGAAAATGTCACAATAATATAATTTTTTATAATTTTTAGACTCAATGATGAAGAAAAAATATATTTAAAAATTCTTGAAAAAACATTTAGGTGTAGAGATCAAGATGACATTAGCATTTCAATAAGCATGATTTGTGCATAACTCTATTTTTATCTTGTGATTCTTGTGTAAATGATTACAGATGATTTAATTGATCAAATTAAGATGTGTAAACACCAAAAGAATCATAATTAGCTAAATTAGATTTTTGAAATTTGAAATTACACCAAAATTTTACTAATTGAAATAAAAAAATTTAATAATAAAGGAGAGAACCTTAGAATTTATAAAAGAGAATAGATGACAACATATTTCTATATAAAAGAGGAGAATAGGAGATAGAGATAATGAGCCCTAATAGGTCAAGAGTCCAATGACATTACTGGACACTCTCTCTCAAGCTCAAGCATATAAGTCAAACATACTCAACTTGGTACATGTGACGTCGTACGAGATCTCGGCCAGACTTTTCGTGAAGGCGTCTGTGAGTTAATAAGATGAGGCCATATGAGGAGGAGAGATGAGATCAAACATAAATTGTCTTGAATGTAGTGATAGTTGATCTCAATATATTTCGAATGCTCATGAAAAGTATAATTGTTGACAATGAAGATAGCAGCTTGATTGTCACAATACATGGGCATTGGAGAAGGAGAAGAGATGACAAGATCTTTGAGAAGTGATCAAAGCCATACCATTTCACGTGTGGTCTTAGCCATGACTCGATATTCAGACTCTACGCTAGAGCATGACACCACTCTTTATTTCTGGGACCACCATGTGATGAGGTTATTTGCAACATATGTGTAGTAACCTATAGTAGATTTCTGCTCACCCTTGTCACCTACATACTCAGAATCAAAATAGGCTTCAACACGGAGATGACCATGTTCCTGATAGATGAGTCATTTCATTGAAGCTCACTTGATGTATGTTAGAACATGTAGAGCTCCCTTCTAATGAACTCGTCATGGTTCCTGCATGGATTAACTTAGAATACTAACCGTATACACGATGTTGGAATGAGTGATGGTGAGATATATACTAGTTTGCCCAATAATCGCTTGTACTGATTACCATCTTCAAGGAGTGAAGATGAAGTGTCCTAGAACTATAAACAGACTTTTATAGGAGAAATCTATGACTTGCACCCAAGGAGTAAAGTTTCCTAAAACATGTTAAGGATATACTTCTATTGGGTCATGGCGAGCTTTTTATCCTAGTATGCAAACTCAATCTCAAGAAAATATCTTGGAGTCTCCAAGTCACAGATGTTGAGGTGCTACTACAAATAAGCTTTAGTAAAATGAATGCTGGCCTCATCACTCTCAATCACAAGAATGTCACTGACATAGACCGTAAGAATGACCAGGCCACCCTAAATTTGAGCATAATGAGATCCACAACGCATGACGAGAAGTCAAATGTGGTGAGAAGACTATTGAACTTGGCGAATCAAGTGTGTGGATTCTACTTGAGCCTGTAAATCACCTTTCGCAAGAAACACACCTTAGTGATTCTCTTTGACCTGCTCCTCGAGATCACTATAGAGAAATGTGTTAAAAATATGTAACTAATGGAGAGACTATGCTTGATTTATGATGAGAGAGAGGAACACTCAGACGGAAGCGAGTCAGATGATAGGGGAGAACATCTTAGTATAGTCGATGCCATATGCCTAGGTGAAGTCACGAACAACCAAATGACTCTTATGACATGCAATAGTGTCATCTAGATGGTATTTGAGTGTGAACACCCATTTATACGTGATGATATTGACATTCGCCAAATAGAGAAACAATGTCCAAGTCCCTCAAGATACTAAGACATCTGCTTCCAAGTCTATGGTCACCTTTCACTTAGGTACCTATGTCGCCTCAACATGCAAGTGGAGAATCAACTTAGAGGCCATAGAAAGGGCAAAGGTACAATAGGAGGGGCAAAGGCAATTGTAGGAAATGATATGAGAGATAGGGTATAGGGTACAAGCACATATACTTATGCACATGGCGATGGAAAGATGAAGATTATCTTGAGGAGCACTGGGGATGTTAGTGAGAGGCATAGGTGGCTTGGTGGAGGAGGGGGACGACGGATCTACATTCGAAGTGGAGGAGGCAAGTGGAAGATGGGGAGCTAGGAGGAGGAGGTGATGGTGGAGAGGATGGACAAGAGGGATTCGAAGAAGACGAATCTACAAGGACCACCAAGGGGAAAAAGCTAGGTGGAGGACAAATGGTAGCTCGAGAAGGAGGGAAGGTAGAGGAGAAGAAGGCAAACTCCTCATGGAAGGTGATGTCAGCCGACGTAACGTAGTGACAGGTGTTAGAAAAATAAACTAGATAGCCCTTCTACATTTGAGAGTAGCTGACAAAGACCTTTTTGAGAGTACAAGAGACTAGTTTGGATAAGGAAAGAGAGTGATCCTTGATTAAGGCAGTGCATTCAAAGATCTGAGGAGAAAAAAAAATAGGGGTGAGATAAATAGGACGTGTGAAAGGGGAATGACCCTACCTAGAGGAGTAGAGGGAAGCCAATTCTAGAGGTAAGTGGTCGTCATGAGGGCGTCGGTTCACCGATAGTGTGAGACATTCATCTCAAGAAGTAGGGTACAAGTGATATCAAGGAGCTGGCGATGTTTATGCTCAATGACACTATTTTGTTATGAGGTATAATGACAAGTGATCTAATGAATAATACTATGATTGGCATAGAAGGTTTAGAGAGAAAACTCGAAGGTGCTATTAGTACGAAGAATATTGAGTGACGACCTTAGAGTGATAGCGTATGAGGTATACCCAACTGACACAAGTATAGTCATCAATAAGAATGATGTAATATTAGTGGCCTGAGAGGACCCTATACATCACAATGGATGAGATCATAAGAGGAAGAAGAGAGAATACCATCTCAACTGAGGTAGAAGGAACGGTGATGTTTACTTAGTTGACATGACTCGCACACATACTTCTTAAGAGAAAGTTATAGTAATTTTTTTGAAGTTTCTCAAAATAGGGATGGCTGATAAGTCTTTATTATCATGAGTTAATAATTAGTAAATAATATAGTTTTAGCATTAACTCATGATAAATAGACTTATATTTGTGTTAAAGTGTGAAAAGTTTTTTTCAATTGATTAACGTGAATTTTTCAGTAATTATGTGATTTTATATGAATTTATATAATTTTTATAGTCTTACTTTTGAGATAGATGAAGAAAAAGAAATAAAAATAAAAATAAAACAAAATGGGGGAGACCTGCCAGCTAGCCGGGCCCGCAAGCAGGTTAGAAGCACAATCGAGGAGTAGCCGCAAGAGTAGGGGCTTGAGCAGCTTAGACCGATAGGGGGCACTTGTGCGCCACCCCCCTTCCACATCACCAATGGCCAGCCGGCTGTGGGGCAAGGAGTGGTCATACACACGCGAGAAAGGGACTTACTTGTAAATATAACATTACTATATATTCACTCGAAAATTCTGCGCACAAGCGATATGGGACTAAACCCATGTCACACCTTCCCCAGAAAAGGCAAGCAACCAGCATAGGTTTGAATCCTCCTAGAGTCAAAACTCATATTTTTTATCTAATTATTGCGACTTTCCTTGAAGGATTAAGCAACCAGAATCACTTGATCATCGGCGAAAATCTCGTCAACACGATTTGCAGAGCATTGTTACTAAAATTGTTGAACGATTAGTGATAAAAGGATCGTGAATCCCTTGAGTAAAGCATCTCCAATTGATCAACGAACAAGCCGTCATCGAGAAGAGGACGATCCATCGAGAGACAAGTCGCCACCTCTTGAGAGTGTACTGGATGCAATGAAGAACCTCCTCTTATTACGTGGACCTGAGGATGAAGCTCCCTAACACGTGCCCTACCTCCATCTAGCTCGTCTCCATCAGGTGATAGCCACTGGAGAGCCGCAAAGTCGTCATTTTTCCCCTCCACTGGGTGACAGCCGCTGGAGACGATTCAACAACCCATTTCATTGATCTCTAGGCTTCCCAAGGAGATCTAGAGATTGCCCACGTCGTCTTTATCCAAGGAGAGCCTTCGAGGCTGTGGAACACTACACGACGATCCTCCTGAACACTTAGGATTCCGGTGCATCGCTGACGTATCGCCGCCGCGACGCCGGAACTCTGTTTTCCTACTTTCAACTTAATTTTCATTTCATTTAGTGATAATTTATTGATTTTAAATTTACCAAGATATATGATGTGACTTAGTCGTTGTATATTAAATCACGCAAATATAAAATTTATAAAACTAGAAAATACAAATTTTCGGATATTTAGAAGTATTTCTAAATAAATATAGCAATTATAATTCAATAAAACTTCCAAAAATAGCGGTAATTTTCCAGGTCGATCACAGGGATGTAATATAATATCTGGTAATTATTCAGAATTTTTCTCAATGAATACGATTTTCTATGAATTTTATACTAGGAAATAAAAAGGAAATATATTTAAAATTCACGAAAAAGGGAAATAAGGGCGCAGGCGTCAAGATGACGTCAGCGCCCGGCGAACGCGAATCGGGCGGAAACAGAGTTCCACCCGGCGATTCTTACGTAAGCGATTACAGACGATTTAATTAATCAAATTAAGATCTGTAAAAGCCAGAAGAATCGTAATAGAACAAAGTATATTTTGGTAAATTAAAATCACAAAGAAATATCACTAAATGAAGAGTAAAGTAAGTTTAAAGCAGGAAAACAGAGTTCCGGCGTCGCGACAGCGATGCGTTGGCGATGCACCGGAATCCTGAGCGTTCGGGAGGATCGTTGTGCAGTGTCCACGGCCTCAAAGGCTCTCCTTGGACAAAGACGACGTGGGCAATCTCTAGATCTTCTCGCGAAGTCTAGAGATCAATGAAATGGGTCGCTGAGTCGTCTCCGGCGGCTGTCACCCGGCGGAGCGGAAAAACGGCGACTTTGCGGCTCTCCGGCGGCTATCACCCGACGGAGAGGAGCTGGATGGAGGTGGGGCGCGTGTCAAGGAGCTTCATCCTCAGGTCCGCGCAGCAAGAGGAGGCTCTTCATCGCATCTGGTACGCTCTCAAGAGGTGGCGACTCGTCTCCCGGCAGATCGTCCTCTTCCCGACGACGGCTTGTTCGTCGATCAATCGGAGATGATTTACTCGATGGATTCGCGATCCTTTTATCGCGAATCGTTCAACAATTTTAGTAGCAATGCTCCGTGAATCGCGTTGACGAGATTTTCGCCGATGATCCAGTGATTTTGGTTGCTTAATCCTTCACCGGCAATCTGTAGGAAAGTCGCGATAATCAGATAAAAAGATATGAATTTTGACTCTGGGAGGATTCGAACCCGCGCCGGTCGCCCGCCTGTGAGGAAGGTGTGACGCGGGTTTAGTCCCACATCGGTTGTGCGCCGATTTTTCGGGCGAATATATAGTAATGTTAGCTTCGGAAGCAAAGTCACTTCTCTCGCGTGTACGACCACTCCTTGCCCCACAGCCGGCTGGCCACCGGTGACGTGGAAGGGGAGTGGCGCACACGTGCCCCTATCGGTCCAAGCTAAGCCGCTTGAGCCCCTGCTCGCGGCTACTCCCGACTGCGCTTCCGACCCACTTGCAGGCCCGGCTGGCCGGCGGGTCCCCCCATTTTGCAATATTTTTATTTTTATTTCTTATTCTTCATTTATCTCAAAAGTAAGACTGTAAAAATCATATAAAATCACATAATTACCCAAAAATTCACGTTAATCAACTGAAAACCACTTTTCACACTTTAACACAAATATAAGTCTATTTATCATGAGTTAAGGCTAAAACTATATTATTTACTAATTATTAACTCATGATAATGAAGACTTATCAATATACTTCATTTCATTACGATTCTTTTGGCTTTTACAGATCTTAATTTGATCAATTAAATCATCTGTAATCGCTTATGTAAGAATTACTGAGCGAAACTCTGTTTCCACCTAATTCGTGTTCGCCGGGTGCTGATGTCATCCTGATGTCTGCACTCTTATTTCCCTTTTTTGTGACTTTTAAATATATTTCCTTTTCATTTTCTAGTATAAAATTCATAGAAAATAGTATTCTTTGAGAAAAATTCTGAATAATTACCCAATATTATATTACATCCCTATGATCAACTTGGAAAATTACCGCTATTTTTGGAAGTTTTATTGAATTATAATTGATATATTTGTTTATAAATACTTCTAAATATCTGAAAATTTATATTTTCTAATTTTAAAAATTTTAAATTTGCGTGATTTACTATACAACCACTAAGTCACATCATCCACACAGCAAGAGGAGACTCTTCATTGCATCTAGTATGCTCTTAGGAGGTGGCAACTCGTTTCTCAATAAATTATCCTCTTCTTGACGATGGCTTGTTCATCGATCAATCAGAGATGATTTACTTGATAGATTCATGATCCTTTTATCACGAATTATTTAGCAATTTTAGTAATAATGTTTCGCGAATCACGTTGATGAGATTTTCGCTGATGATCCAGCAATTATGGCAACTTAATCCTTTATCAGCGATATATAGGAAAGTCACGATAATCAGATAAAAATATAGGTTTTGACTCTAAGAAGATTCGAACTCGTGCCGGTTGCCTACCTGCATGAGAGAGATTGAAATAAGTACTCTAATGCCCTTACCAAGTGACGTCATCATGATATATCTCTATTATAAATAAGGAGTATTTTAGGTATTTAAATCTTCGAACCTTTTCGGGGAAAGGTGTGGCATGGGTTTAGTCCCACATTACTTGTGTGTCGAAGTTTTGGGTGCATATATAGTAATATTACATTTGTAAGCAATGAGTCCCTTTCTCCCACGTGTACAACCACTCCTTGCCCCAGTTGGCTGACCACCGGTGACGTGAAAGGGGAGTGGCGCACATGTGCCCCCATCGGTCCTAGCCACTCGAGCCCCTACTCACGATTCTTCCTCAACTACGCTTCCGACCCACTTGTAGGCTCGGCTGGCTGGTAGGTCTCCCCCCATTTTGCTATATTTTTATTTTAATTTCTTTTTCTTCATTTATCTTAAAAAAAATTATAAAAATCATATAAATTAGTAGAAAATCACATAATTAGTCAAAAATTCACATTAATCAACTAAAAACCACTTTTTACACTTTAACACAAATATAAGTCTATTTATCATGAGTTAAGGCTAAAACTATATTATTTACTAATTATTAACTCATGATAATGAAAACTTATCACCGGTCATATGGGTGGAGGCCCCTAAGTCGATAATCCATAATGATGAGGAGGAAAGTAAGGAGAGCATGTGTACTTGATGTGGAAGGAGTTGGAAATGAGGCGATGTTGGCGGAAGAAGAGGCATTGCTAGGACTATTATGATTAATGTGCGACAAAACACATCATACTCCGTAGACATCAGGTCTATGTTGAAAGTCAAGGTAGGAACATTTGTAGGAGCGAGTGAGATGAGAGCCAAAGGAGCCATCGTCGACTGGGAGGAAGTAGGTTTGCTGAATTACTTCCAACATTTGTTGACCTAGTGGTTCTGCTTGCTGCAATAGGGACACTGGGGGAAGGAGTTGGGGCCCTTTCCACAAGGAGGAGGACCGCCCTCAAGGTGGGAAGATGGGCCATCATCCTAAGCCCCAAGAGCGATGACGATCATAGCCGAGGGGGAAGTTGCAATGCCTATGGAGGAAGGTGGAGAGGGCAAGGATGTACCAGTTGTGATGCAAAGTGCCGCAAAGAAGATGGGGGTGAGGCTGAGTATCCAATCATAAGAAAGAATGGAATTGCGGATCTAGGACACAATAAAAGGATGAAGTCTGCTAAGGTACACATCAGCATAGAACTCCTGACGATAGCACTAGAACATCAAGAGGTCTGAGATGAGAGGTTGATAAATGTCTACCTCTTGAATGAGGACTTGTAGGTGACCATAGTATACATAGAGAGAGAGATTATCTTGCTTGTAGTTGAGGAGAGACTCAATGATTTCTACCACTCGACTGATGAACATCCGGTTGGCATACATCATCTCTAGATTGTCCCATAGAAGGCATTTCAACTTGATACGAGAGAGAGGCTCGGTGATGCTCTGCTCGATGCTATGGAGCATCCAAGTGATAATGAATAAGTTGATTTGCGACTAGTAGGCAAAAGAAGGGTTGCGGAGAGTTAGAGAGTCATCCGTGAGATGATGAAGGAGGCAATGAGATTACACCCATGATGTGTTCATGCTTTCATTTTAACTTTATAAATCTTAGAATTCTCATATGCCTCATTTCGAATCTCATTTAACTTATGTCATTCACATAATCATTTCTTTCCAGCATCATTAATAGATAAATTCAATTTTTTAATTGCCCAATATGTTCTATGCTCTAGTTCTATGAGAAGATGACATACTTTACCAAAAATTAATCTATATGGTGACATGCCTAAGAGAGTTTTATATGCTGTCCTATATGCCCATAGAGCATCGTATAATCTTATAGACTAATTCTTTCCATCAAGCCTAGAGATTTTTTGTAGAATTTTTATGACCATTGAATGTGTAAGCAGGCCGAGTGAGTTGTGCCATAATAGAGTGGCGTGTCGGGAGGGGCACTAGAGAGGAGGCAGAATGTTGTCTAGTAGGAGCTCTAAGGTATGTGGGGATGGGAACGATGGAGAAGCTGTGAAGGAGGCCATGAAGGTGCAGGTGCCGGCTGAGAGGTGCATAGGAGGGCGCTAGTCAAGGCCGTGTAGCTGATGACGGAGACCTTGGGGTGTGGCCGGAGGGAGGCCTCAGTAGTGGCAGAGATTGCAGTGGCGGTGGCATGGGCCACGATGGTGGCAGCAGCTGTGATGATGGCAGAGGCCACAACAACGGAGGCCACAGTGGGAGAGCACGCCACCTATGGCACGCCGCAGCAAGTTCGCCTAGGGTGCGCTGCCTAAGGCACACTGTGGTGGCAGCAGCGATTGAGGGTAGCGGGCAGCACCTAGGGCATGCTCGGCATGGTGCCTAGAGAGGGGTGGAAGTGGAGGCGGTGTTAGTGAGGGGCGGCAGGAGGCGGCGGTGGAGGAGGGCTGTTGTGAAGACCGACAACTACTAAGGATGAGGGTGCCAATGAGAGGTGATAAGTCTTCACTATCATGAGTTAATAATTAGTAAATAATATAGTCTTAGCCTTAACTCATGATAAATAGACTTCTATTTGTGTTAAAGTGTGAAAAGTGGTTTTCAATTGATTAATGTGAATTTTTGGGTAATTATGTCATTTTACACGAATTTATACAATTTTTACAGTCTTACTTTTATGATAAATGAAGAAAAATAAATAAAAAATAAAAATAAGACAAAACGAGGGGGATCCGTCAGCCAGCCGAGCCTGCAAACGGGTCGAAAGCTTAGTTGGAGAGCAGCTGAGAGCAAGGGCTCGAGCGGCTTGGACCAATAGGGGCACGTGTGCGCCACTCTCTTTCCACGTCACCGGTGGCCAGCTGGCTGTGGGGCAAGGAGTGGTCGTACACGCGAGAGAAGGGACTTGCTTAGGAATGAAACATTAGTATATATTTGCCCGAAAAATCGGTGCACAACCGATGTGGGACTAAACTTGCGTCACCTTCCCTAGAAAGGGCGGGCAACCGGCACGGGTTCGAATCCTCTCAAAGTCAAAAGTCATATATTTTTATCTGATTATCATGACTTTCCTACAAATCGCCGATGAAGGATTAAGCAATGAGAATCGCTGGATCATCGGCGAAAATCTCGTCAACGTGATTCGCGGAGCATTGCTACTAAAATTGCTGAACGATTCGTGATGAAAGGATCGCGAATCCATTGAGTAAATCATCTCCTATTGATCGACGAACAAGCCGTCGTCAGGAAGAGTACGATCTGCCAGGAGACGAGTCGCCACCTTCTGAGAGCATACCGGATGTGATGAAGAGCCTCCTCTTGATGCGCGGACCTGAGGATGAAGCTCCCTGACTCGTGCCCCACTTCCATCCAGCTCCTCTCCGTCAGGTGACAGCCACCGGAGAGCCGCAAAGTTGCCATTTTTCCGCTCCGCCAAGTGACAGCCGCTAGAGACGATTCGACGACCCATTTCATTAATCTCTAGACTTCGCAAGGAGATCTAGAGATTGCCCACAACCCTACCTTGCCACCTCCACTGGTTCTTCATACCACAACCATCTACAGTGGAGTACACCATAGAATAGCCACTCCATATCATCCCCAAACAAATGGGCAAGCTGAAGTAGCAAATAGGAAAATTCAGAGAATTTTGAGAAAAATAGTTAGACCATATAAGAAAGATTGGCCCACGAAATTACAAGATGCATTATGGGCTTATAGAACAGCTTATAAAAATCCCAGAGGTATGTCCCCATTTCATCTCATTTTTGGAAAGCCATGTCATCTTCTTGTGGAAATAGAGCATAAAGCATTATGGGCTATAAAAAATTTATGTATGGATGAAAAATCAGCTGGTGGGCATAGAATTTTTCAGCTACATGAACTAGAGGAGTTGAGGAATGAAGCTTATGAAAATCATAGAATATATAA